CCAGGATGGCTTACCAGATTTCAGAGGGCCAGTAACTGGCTGGGTTATTTGGCTTGACAGTAGCTTCTTATTATTTGACTAAGTTGAGATTCTTTAATCTCTGTGTCTGTATTTCAAATGCCCTTATCACCATCTCACTGTTGGAATTGGGATGAATTCCAGGAAACCTCCTCGTAAGACAGTGGTCTCCCGAGTCGCAATGTCAATGTTAAAATGTGCAGAGCTCAGAAAATAGCACATGGAAATTGCAGACTTGTCTTCTCTGGTAGACCTGCCCAACGTCACCTCTAAGTTTTTAACAAATAAGATCAAGTATTACTAAAAATACAGTGCTGTTTATTGAGCACCTACTATGTGCCTGGCAAATATCAGAACTACAACTAAGAACTGGTGAAGGAAGGTCTCTCTTTTCTGTCCAGCTTAATATAAACACAGACAGCAGGTGGCAAAGACAAACCCTTTAAAAATAAGCTCAGCTTGGGGCGCCTGCATGGCGCAGTCGGTTAAGCCTCCAGCTCTTGGCTTCAGCTCAGGTCATGATCTCAGGGTTCTGGGATGGAGCCCCGAGTCAGTCTCCATGCATAGTACAGAGTCAGCTTGAGATTCTCTCCGGCCCGCCCCCCCAGCCCTCCCGTTCACACTCTCTCTCGAATAAATAAATAAGCCTTAAAAAAAAAAAAGTAATAAACCTAGCTTGAGCAGACACAGGCTATGGGAGGAAGGGCAGTGTGTGCTGAACCAACAGATTCGAGCTGAAGTCAGAGGTCTCTGCACGTGGCTTGCGAAGCAGTCCCTGATTTTCTGGGCAGGGGGAAGCCTTGCCCCCTGGATGAGTTTCCTATGGCTGCTGTAATAAATTAGCACAAACCTAGTGGCTTAAAACGACACAGATTTATTGTTGTACCATTCTGGAAGTCAGATGTTCAACATCAGTCAAACTGGGCCAAAGTCAAGATGTTGGCAGGGCTGTGTTCCTTCTGGAGGCTCCAGGGAGAATCTGTTCCTTGCGTCCTCCACCTTGGAGAGGCTGCCTATGTCTCTTGGCTCATGGCCCCTTCCTCCGTCTTCAAAGGCCCTGGTGTCGTGTCTTTGCCTCAGTTTGTTCATCTGTACTATGGGCACAGCTCCATAACTGCTCATGCAGCCATGTTGTCAGGATCAAGTTCCTGAGAGCCCAGCGGAGTCTTGGACCCTCTGCAGATGACAGGTGTGGCTGATGTTGAAGGCTCAGACCCAGGCATCTGGGTCTCCATCCAGCCCCAGCGTCGGGGAGGACTGGGGCCGAGACAGAGCTGTCGTGTGGGTTTTCCTTGGCGGATAGAACTTGGTCACCACGTGCAGAGAAGGGCACAGGAAGGCGTGGCATGAGGCCCCATGACAGTCTCAGCATGCAGCTCCGCAGACGTGTATGGAGTACAACAGGGTGCTGGGGGGGGGCCCCTGGGCATCTGAGAAATCAGGTTTGCTGGGGATACCAGCTTCCTGCGGCTGCCGAAATGAATCCCCACCAACAGCGTGGTTTTAAACAACCAAATGGCCATATTATAGTAGTGGAGTTATAAAGCAGTTCTTGTCCAAAGCTATTTCCCAAAATATGATGTATTTAACTCTCTCTATATACACACACACACCCCAACAGATTGGCCATATTGTAGTGATGGAGTTATAAAGTAGTTCTAGTCAAAAAATTGTTTTCAAAAATACTTATGTCTTTAAGTACACATATACACCCACACACATTAAGGCAAAATAAAAGTTTTTATGTTACTGAGCTGAACAATGAAAAAGAACATAAGCAAAATAAACTGGTTTGGTACATATCCACGGGCTATAATCCGTGCCTGACTTGGGTATGTCCTTGGCATTTTCCTGGAGAATGAATTTTTCTTTCCGCTTGGTCTTACTACTTTTAATTGTTCCATATACTTGCTGAAATATTTGCCTTCAAATTTTACAGTTACTAAATTTAAATTAGCACCTTCAATTGACCCTTCTCTTAGACTAGAACGTATTTATGTAAGAAAATGTGGCTGGGGCAGGTGCTCAGGTGCCTGATACGCTCTGAGCAAGTTCTGCAGGGTGGGGGCTATTCTCAAGTCCGACTCTTTGCATATAAAATGATGTAAATATTTTAGCCCAGATAAAGGTGATGCCTTTATATGCCTTAGTTCAAAGTGGCTTTCTTCAACAAATATTTTTACTAGATTCAACTCTACAAATAAGTTGTCGTTACAATTTTTGAACTCTTTGTCAAACTTAGATGCTGTGAATGGTAGGTGTTCTCAATTTTGTCCCATTTCTGTACAGAACATGAACTTACTCAATTGAAAAGATTCTTCCCACAAACAGGTATTCCAAAGCTCACTACAGAATTTTAAAATTAAATCTTGTGTGCCACTGAGCTCTCATTCTCTGATTTAAGTATTTCTTCCCTTTTGCAACACATTTCCTTTATTGTCTGCAAAATAGCTTCGTTTTCTATCATTACAATCTGCTAGACACGCAAAAGGGGATGTTTTGGTGCTCTGTTCTTTGAACACCTTGATTAAAGATTTCCAGTGGATTCGGAACAAAATTCAAAAAATGTAGAGCTCTCTTTTAACAAACAGCTTAGTAACACTTTCAGGCATTTAGCCTCAAGGTCTTATAAAATTGATTGATGATGGGCAACAAAGAAAAGAAATACATGCTGAAGGGTTTGTTGCTGTTGTTGTTTTTTTTTAATTCACCGTCAACTTCACTACAAAAAGCTTGTGGTTCAATAACTCTGCGTACGTCTTTAAATTTTCTAAATTTTGCCACCTATCATCTCCATATCAATTGGTAGACTATTGAAACATATTTGCATGAAATTATAAACTGTGTTTGCACTGTGGCCTGTTCAAAGTACATTTCTATTTCATTGGTCTCTTATTTAGTAAGAATGTAACTGTTACCAGGACACCATGCCCCAGCAAAATCTGTCTTTGTATTACCATCACAAAAATATAACTCTATTTCCAATGTAAACAATTTAAACTGAATGTTATTCAAAAAATGTTATTTAGAATAACATTTCCCAGAAGTCCGTTGTTCCGTTCAGCCAGACTGAACTTCCAGAAGCTTGGTTTTGGGTCCGTGAATTGGATCATGATTGGCACAGACTGATCTTTCTAGTGGAAGAATCTGAAGATACTGATATCAAACTGGCACCAAGAACTCCCCGTCTGTGGTGTTCTTACAAAACTGCCCCATAATCAGCCACCACCTCCGCTGTTGTCTGTGTAGGAGAAAAACTGGAACCAAAAATCAGCTGAATTAATTTGCAGAACAGCTGCTTGGTCTAAGTTGAAAAGCCATGCTTCCATGGGTGCAATCAGTGTCTTAGGGCAGATCTTTTAAAAGTACCAACTTCTAAAGTGGCAGCTTCTGTGTCTTAGGCATTCTTGTGGTCAGTGAAATCGCTACAGCCCCCCCCAGTGATGTGAACATCAGCAAACATTCTGTGCAACTTGCACATTTCGTCACCAACTTCCTTGAGAAACAGAAGCTCACTACTAAAATTTTCATTGCTTTCAATTTTTAGCTCATCACTGCAAGAAAGGGCATATTGCAAAATTTAAAAGTATTTCCAGGGGGCGCCTGGCTGGCTCAGTCGGTAGAGCATGCAACTCTTGATCTCAGGGTCGTGAGTTTGAGCCCCACGTTGGGCATGGAGCCTACGTAAAAAAGAATTAAAAAAAAAAAAAGTATCTCCAAATAACCAAATAAATATTTAGTTGTGGATTTGTGCCCTGCAAGAGTTGACAACACAAGAGTATCCTGACTCTTCTGTATGCTCTGGGTCAGAGCTCCTACAAGCCACAGATACTCCACAGCCACCCAACCCGTAATCCCCCGTGTTGCCCACTCACCTGCCCCCTGGTGGCCAAGCACCTTGTTCTCTTCTCTGTCCACACTCTCCCTTGGTGATTTCATCCAGTTTGTGGCTTTAAACACCAACTAGGTAATCACAACTCCCAGGCTCTGTGCTCAGCAGGGAGTCTGCTTCTCTCCTCCCTGTCCCTCTGCCCTCCTCCCTCCAAAATAAATAAATAAATCTTTAAAAAAAAAAGAGGGGGGGGGGCACCTGGGTGGCTCAGTCGTTAAGCGTCTGCCTTTGGCTGAGGTCATGGTCCCGGGGTCCTGGGATCAAGCCCCACATCGGGCTCCCTGCTCAGCGGGAAGTCTGCTTCTCCCTCTCCCACTCCCCCTGCTTGTGTTCCCTCTCTCACTGTCTCTCTCTCTGTCAAATAAATAAATAAAAATCTTTAAAAAAAAAATTTAAATGTGAAAGTCTTAGAATGGTGCCTGGAGATAGAGATCATTTCATCAGTGTGAGCTGCTATTCTTTTACTATTTGTATTTTTCAAGCCCAGCTTGAGAACCTCCTCGTTCTGGAAACCTCCCACCATCGCCCCCATGTCGTCCACCCTGCTGGTCTCGACCCCCATGGGTGGGCATCCCCACTGGCTGTACCTCTTTCTAGCCCTTCTTGATTCTTTCTTAGGTCATCGACCACTGTCTCCATGTCTGCATCCCCTCTAGGCAGTGAGCGCCTGCAGGTTGGGGGCTGTGTCCTGTTCCCTGTATCTCCGGCACCTGGCAAAGTGCTGGCACAAAGAGGGTGCTCATTAAATGTTTGCCAAAACTGTTAGCAATAATAATGCGGCTGGTTTTTAAGATTTTATTTATTTATTTGCACACACATGTGCCTGAGAGAGAGAGAGAGAGGGCGAGAGAGGGAACACAAGCGGGGGGAGTGGGAGAGGGAGAAGGAGGCTGCCTGCTGAGCAGGGAGCCCGATGCGGGGCTCGATCCCAGGACCCTGAGATCATGACCTGAGCTGAAGGCAGACGCTTAACGGACTGAGCCATGCAGGCACCCCAATAATGTGGTTGTTAATAAGATTAATCAGGGGTGCCTGGGTGGCTCAGTTGGTTGGGCGACTGCCTTCGGCTCAGGTCATGATCCTCCCGGGATCGAGTCCTGCATCGGGCTCCCTGCTTGGCAGGGAGTCTGCTTCTCCCTCTGACCCTCCCCCTTCTCATGCTCTCTCTCTCTTAAATAAATAAAATCTTTAAAAAAATAATAATAAGGCTAATCAGCCCCTTCCCTTGAGCGCTTCCTCTGGACCAGGCAACCACGCCAGCGCTCCATAGATCCTATGGCCAGTCCTGGCCACAATCCCACTAGAGGGATACGATTAGCTCCGACTTCCAAAAAGGAAAATAAAAGTCAGTGGGTCTCAGTGGCCCACACCAAGTGGTTGTGCCAGGGTTCAGACCCGGTTTTCAAAGCCCTAGTCCTTTCCTCTATACCAGGGGTCGGCCAACCTTTCCTCAAGGGGACCAGACGGCAAATACTGGCAGCTTTGCAAGCCACGCAGCCTTTGTCGCTGCCACACAAAAGCAGCCTCGGCCAATACGTAGATGAACAGGTGTGGCCGTGTGCCAAGAAAACTTGGTTTTCCAAACCCGCGGGGCGGGCTGGATGCGGCCAGCGGGTTTCGGTGGGCGGTCGCCCACCCGACGCTGCGTCCGTTCAGTGCAGGTCCCTGTGGATGACGGCCCGGACCCTCCTGCAGTTCCTGCCGCTGAACCGGAGGCAGCTCTCGCCCCCCAATGCCACGTCCTGTGACGGCGCTCAAGAGGCCTGGGCCGTGCTGCACGGGGTGTTACCGACCTTCATCATCGGCATCTGCGTCGGCGGCCTGCTGGGAAACCTCTTCGTGCTGTCGGTCCTCCTCCTCCCCCGGCGGCGCCTGAGCGTGGCGGAAATCTACCCGGCCAACCTGGCCGCCTCCGACCTGGTGTTCGTCTCGGGCCTGCCCTTCTGGGCGGAGAACATCGCCAACCGGTTCCGCTGGGCCTTCGGAGGCCCCCTGTGCCGCCTGGGCAATGGAGTCATCAAGGCCAATCTGTCCGTCAGCATCTTCCTGGTGGTGGCCATCAGCCGGGACCGCCACCGCGCGCTGGTGCACCCGGTGGCCGGCCAGCGACGGCGGCGGCGGCGGGCCCAGGCCACCTGCCTGCTCATCTGGACGCTGGGCAGCGCCCTGAGCGTCCCCACGTTCCTGTTCCGCTCCACCGTGGCCTTGCCGCCGCGCCACAACAACTCCTGCGCCTGCGTGCTGCTGCAGCCCGGCGCCGCCTGGCCCTGGCTGAGGATGGTGGAGTTGAACGTGCTGGGCTTCCTGCTGCCGCTGGCCGCCCTCGTCTTCTTCAACGGCCACATCCTGGCCTCGCTGCGCGGGCGGCCGGGGGTCCGCAAGGCCGCGGCGCTCATCCTCGCGCTGGTGGCCGCCTTCCTGGTGTGCTGGACCCCCTACCACTTCTTCGCCTTCCTGGAGTTCCTGTACGAGGTGCGGGCCCTGCGAGGCTGCTTCTGGGAGGATTTCATCGACCTGGGGCTGCAGTATGCCAACTTCTTCGCTTTCATCAACAGCTGCCTGAACCGGGTGATTTACGTCTTCGTGGGCCGGCTTTAAGGACCAAGGCCTGGGAACTTTGTCAGCAATGCACCGCCCGGAGTCCTCCTCCAGGGTCCTTGCCCCACAGGACAGACGTTCTCCAACATTTCTGGCAGAGGAAACACAGCAGGGAGTCACGAAGCTTGGCTTCCTCATCAGTGATTCCAGACATAATAGATGCTGTTGGAGTGGGCTCCAGAATGAGCTCCCCACCCGCCCCCACCCCCCAGATGGCCAGGACCTCGTCCCTGGAAACTGTTGGGTGTTTTTATGGTACGAGAACTTTGCAGATGTGATTAAGCTAAGGGTCTCGAGATGGGGAGATGATCCTGGATTATCTGAGTGGGTCCAGTGTCATCACAAAGGTCCTGATAAAAGAGAAGTGGCCAGAGAAGGCCATGGGAGAGCAGAAGCAGGACTGAATCTGGGAGCCCGGAGCCAGGGGCTGCTGGCGCCCCCTAGGGGCTGGAAAAGGGACAGAGACGGATTCTCCGCTGAAGCCTCCAGAGGAAGCAGCCCTGCAGACATTTGGACTTGAGCCCACTGAGACGGACTTCAGAGGTCTGGCCTCCAGAAAGAGTAGACAATAAAGTCGTGTTGTTTTAAGTCACCGAGTTTGGGCTAATTTGTTCCAGCAGCCACGGGAAACTTCCAGTAAGGGTCTCTGTGCACGTTGCCACGTGCCCATCCAAAAGGTTCTAGGCTAACAGCTAGGCATACAGAGATGATAGAGCTAAGGATCCCATCCACGAGGAACTTGCATAAATCATTAGAATATAAAAAAAAAAAAAGAAAGAAAACAAGAAATCGCAGAAGCACGCCCTGTATCCAGCACCGTGAGTGTTCAGAGGGAAAAGGGCTGTCAGGAGAGGCATGCTGAAGCGAGTCAACGGGGAGCTGAGTTTCAGGAAGGGCAGAATCTGGATGCGTGGAGGGAGGGGAGGGAGACCTGGCAGAGGCATAACCAGGACATGCAGGTGGAACACGGGCACTACGCATGAAAGAGTATTTATGAAACTGTTAATGCTTCGATATTCTTCTTGCCACAGGGGACCCAGTGGTGAACCTGGAAAATCTGCCTTCAAGGAGCTCGGCGAGACTCAGAGAGCAGGGTAACTGGCCCCATCACGTGAGAAGAGGTGTTCTGAGCACAGAGAAGGGCGCCCAGGATGGGCGGCTGGGAGGGGAGGGGTCTGGAGGGTTTCCCAGAGGAAGAGACAGGACCTATAAGCTGAATCCAAAGAACAAGCAGTTGTCCGAACCAAATAGGAAAAAGGTGCGTTCCAGAAAGAAGAAACACGCTCCACCCAGAGGCGGGTGGGTTTATAGGCTGGGAGGGAGAAGGATGAAGGAAGGTGAGGTACAAGGCAGTCACAGAGGGTTTGAGGCTTGAGGAGGACAAGACGAGCAAGGGCAGGGAGGGAAGCAGGGAGGGCCCGGCTGAAGCTAGAAGGCATTAATCTGTTGCGTGAATTACTCTAGCCATGCTCATCGGGGCCCCAAACAAGCAGGCAGTGGGGTATCTCCAGGGCTGAGGTTTTGCCAGAGGACGGCCATCATTTAAGGGTGTTGGGAGTACTGGTCCGACTATGGAAACTGGCTGAATTAGAGAAGGAATAAACTTAGGAGGTGAGGGAGACAGAGTGACAGGGATGCGGTTACAGAGCAGGGGCAGTGGGAGCACCTAGGTGCCAGAGCACAAGAATAGGAGGTTGAGGCCACGGAGTAAGAGTGTTTGTACAGAACATTCCATCCCCTGTGTGGCCGTGGCATCGGGCAGCTGGAATCGAGGGAAGGAGAAGGTCATTGGTGACCAGGCAGTCAAGGAATGGAGAGGCGGGGGATGGACAGCCCATAGGGTCCCTGCAGGCAGGCAGGCAGGTGCATTGGAGAAAGGGCAAGGAAGCCGGTGTTCCTGGAGCCTACCGATGGGATCTAAGAGGCCGGCGGGGGCTGGGCCGCCAGACCCTCGCAGAAGGGCCATGGCCACCCTGCGGTCAGTGCCCCAGCCCCCGGAGAGCAGGGATTTAAGTCAACAAGCTAGGCTCCAGCTGGCCCATGTGTTTAATTTAGATCGCACAGTGTTTAAAAAACTATTTTTGATGGGCGCCTGGGTGACTCAGATGGTTAAGTGTCTGCCTTTGGCTCAGGTCATGATCTCAGGGTCCTGGGATCGAGCCCCGCATCAGGTTCCCTGCTCAGTGCAGAGCCTGCTTCTCCCTCTCCCTCTGTCACTCCCTCTGCTTGTGCTCTTCTATCTCTCTGTCAAATAAATAAATAAAATCTTTAAAAAAAAAAAAACTATTTTTGAGCTGGTGACCAATATTTAAATTCCACCTAAGAATCCTGATTTCAGGCTTCCCTTGAGCATCATCGGATCTAGCAACACGGAGCCTGCATTCCTTCCTTAGGTAGATGTTTACGGAGCTTCTAGTCCATGCCAGACACTGCCGTGGGCGCTGGGAGCCCAGGAGGGGCCCCCTGGTGGCGCTGACTTCTGGGTACCCCCCTAGGACACCAGTTCTCTGGCGCTGAGAGCAGGGCCCCCCTCCAGCGGCTACAGCCCCCTCCCAAGGAGCAGAGGCTAGAGGCACCAGCTCGCTCGTTTCCCAACACCGACGCCGGGGCAGGAATCCCGGGAGCAAAGTCCTGTACAGAGTGGCCAGGACAGGAATATTGGGCAGAAGTAGAGCATCGGAAAGGAAAGATAATGCCCAGTCTCTCCTCTGCTCAGACCAAACTGACCCGAAAATGTCCTCCTTGCTGCTTTCTCAGCCCCCTGCACTCAAGCTGTGGCTTATAAAAATGCTCTCTAGGGGTTGCAAAAGACGATCCCACCATCTAGAGCACACGGGCTCACACGCCTTATCCAGCGGTAGGCTGTCCGCGCGGTCTCGCTGAGCCCGACACCTGATTTCTGGAACGGGTGTAACCGACACCGAAGCCCGGCCTGCCGCCCTGTGGGGAGAGAAGCCGGCAGCCCACAGTGAGGGCTCTGTTGTCCTTCCACTGACAAGGTCAAGTATTCTTCTGCAGAGGGAGAAATTCCTGCCTTGGTTAAAAGGATCAGTGATGCGGGAGAGATTAAATTTTTGAATTTGCATGGATCTGGGAGATGTGCTCAACCTGGAGGATTTCACACGTGGGTCCAGCCCCAAGCCTCACCTTGTAGGGCTAACACCTGCCATGGAGGGATGAGTGAGCCCATGGTCTAGCAGCGCTGGCTCCAGCACCCAGGTGGGCTCCCACTTTCTGTCTGAGAAGGGCCAAAGGAGAGACATGGAGCTTCTTTTCCAACCCAGTCCCAGCTGCGGGCCTGTTATGTCAGTCCACGGCCGCTCTCCCCACTCCCCCGCCCTAGCCATGACCCCATCCATCGTGGGCTCTGAATAGCGCTACACACTCCCGAATCCCAGCCCGGGGAGACTCCTGGGTGTTGCAATGGACACAGGCAGGTTCTTGTCCTCTGGAGATGAGTCACGAGCTTGATGAGGAGCAAGCAGGAAGTTTTCTCCTACATGCTAGAAAAGGCTTTAAACTAAATTAAAATGAGTATGTGTCAAACTGGCCCAATCTGGCTAGAATCTGAAAATGTTCCTGGTTGTGACATTGCACCATACGTACACATGATGTCGTCACAGGGGAAACTCAGTAAAGAGTACAAAGGATCTCTCTGTGAATCTAATAAAAAAGTGTATATATATATATATATATATATATACATATATATATATATATCTCTCATATAGATCATCGAGTTGAACCCCTCCATTTTACAGTTAAGGAAGCTGAGGCCCAGGCATAGGTAGAGACTTTCCCGAGGTTACCCAATGAGCTGGACTCCTGGGGCAGGGCTCTGTCCAGACCCAGGGATGCCTACCAGACTGTGAGGTCAGAGGACAAGCCTGAGTGCCAGGGATCCCACCACTGGAGTTGCCTTCCTGGTGGCAGACTCCCAGTGCCTGGCACTGGATTTAAGATAATGAGCAGGAAGACAGGCCCACTTTTCAGGAGCTTCAGGAGACAGAAGGGTATTAGAAGGGTGAGCTGGGGCTCAGCAAGTACGAGGGGAAGATACTTCAGGCTTTTCCTTGACAGGGAGCTCAGTGGTTGCTGAAAAAGCTGCTGGCTCTTGGGCTATATTAATAGGAGTATAGCATCTAAAATGTGGGAGGTGATAGCCCATTTAGCTTAGCATTGGACAGGGTACATGAAGAGTATTGTGTTCCAGCTCTTGGCTCATTCAGAAGAAAGGGATCAGACTGGCAAAGGGACTCAATATCATAACCTTCGTGACACAGTGAGAGCCTGAGAGGGCTTTCCTGAAGAAGCAAAGACCTATGGAGAAAGGGGAAAAAATGTATTTAGTGTGACCCCAGCAGGACCAAAGGGAAAAAAATCCTGAGAAACACGTTCCAGCTTACTTTGAGGAAAGAACTTTCTGATAGGCAGAGCTGGCTTACGGTGGGTTCCCTGTTCCCAAGGCACACCCACCCTTGAGAAGCTCACTGCAAGCAGGGGGGCCAATAGGAAAAGAAGTCATTTCTCAGTATGAGATGTGTGATCCCGGGGTGATAGAATCTGCCTGGAAGGAGTTCAAGAAACAAGGGAGTAACAGAGGATGTGACCCCAAGCTGGGTCTTGAAGTTAAATAGGACAATGAGGGTGTTAACCACCCACAGTCTTTGCCTCACCCAAGATGTGACCCAGTGAGATCAAGGGCTGGAAGAATTATCGCGAGGCTTGGAGGTCGGTGTTCCCTATAGGCCACAAGAGTCCACAGAGACTCTAAACAGGGGAGTGTCAAGTTCAGACCCACAGTTTAGAACAATCACTCCATGAGAATATGTGGGATATGGATGATGGCCTGGGGTTGTTATCAGCTATCTGTTGCTGCAAAACAAACCGCCCCCAAACTTAGAGAGTTAGAACCACCTTAGCTCACAGCTCTGTGGTCAACCCCACGGGCTGGGTTCTGCTGATGGTTCTTCCGCAGGTCTTGGCTGCGTTCCCACACGCATCTGTGATCAGTGGATGACCCGACAGCTCTGCTTCTGGAGGCTGAGCAGGAGGGGGCAGCAGGCACAGAGACGACCTCAGATAAGTTAAAAATCCCTGATAGATTAGGTGTGATGCAGGCAGGCTGGGGAGCACCCTGAATCTGACCTCCCCAATCTAAGAATCAGAGCGGCTGAATTGCCCACTGCTTTGATTGCACTTACTACAGGCTTTATACAGGTCAGGTATTGTGCAAGGCGCAGGCGCAGAAGACAATGAGACACTGTCCTCTCGGACCGTTCACAGGACGTGGAAGAGGTCATCGCGTGCAAGCTGCTCAGTTGGTAGATGGAAGACCTGAGACCCAGAATGCTTGGCCCCGTCACACGAGGTGACAACACTGATGAGGAGTCTGGATGAGGCACCAGGTCCCCTACTCTGTCCAGCCCTCTCCACCTGTACCATGGCTCCCCAGAAAGTGCTTCCTAAGAACACCTTGTGTTTGGGTTTTTTTAAGATTTATTTATTTAGGGTGCCTGGGTGGCTCAGTCATTAAGCGTCTGCCTTCGGCTCAAGTCATGGTCCCAGGGTCCTGAGATTGAGCCCCGCATCGGGCTCCCTGCTCTGTGGGAAGCCTGCTTCTCCCTCTCCCACTCCCCCTGCTTGTGTTCCTGCTCTCACTGTCTCTCTGTCAAATAAATAAATAAAATCTTAAAAAAAAAGATTTATTTATTTGAGGGGGAAGGAGGGGGGTGGGGTAGAGGGAGAGGGAGAGAGCGTCTCAAGCAGACTCTGCGCTAAGCACAGAGCCTGACTCGGGGCTGGATCTCATGGCCCTAAGATCACGACCTGAGCTGAAACTAAGAGTCGGATGCTTAAGCGACTGAGCCACCCAGGCGTCCCAAACACCCTGTCTTTCGAATGGAAGTACCTTTGCCCGGTGCTGACGGGGTGAGGGGAGGGGAGGGGCGGGCCATTCCTCATCCTCGCTCTCCTGTAAGGACATTTCTGCGGTCCAGCAACAGTTCCAGGCCTCCTGTCCTTCTGGGAAGCGGGGACTGAACTTCCTCGTGCTGTGGAGGCTGAGAGTGGTCCTCTCGACTCCTTTGGCCAATGCCGGGGGACTTGGACTTTCTTCGAGGCAGAAGCAATTCTCTCTTCCTCTGCTATAGCAAACCCTGAAGGCTTGTGTCGAGAAGGTGGTGTCATTAAGATGTGGTGGCCCATCAGCCTGGACCCCCAAGTTCCTAGAAGAGCAGAGCCCCTACCTCACCTGCATGAAACACGCAGTATGAGTGAGAACTCAACCTCGGTGGTTGTGAGCCACGGAGCGTAAGGGGATGTTTGTTACACAGCAGAACCCCTCCCCTCCTGACTGACCCACCAGGGTTCCACTGAGGATAGCTCCCTACGCCCCTGGCCTGTTGCCCACTCTTTACTCCTCTCTGTGGAAGAAAAGTGACCTGACTGGTTGGTTTCAAAACAAGAATTGAGCCCATAGAGCTCGCTGCCTTCCCCCATTCCCACTTTGTCCACAGACCGGTCTTCTCTCAGCCATGAGGTCAACTTAGCGCTAGACGCTCTGCCTCAGTGGAGGAAATGGCCTGAACTGCCTGGGCCTTGTGGGTAAGTTGGCCTGATTCTGGGGTTCAGAATTAAGAAGCCTGTTGATGCCATACATCGAAGTGACATCACCCACCAAGCCTTCCTCAGTCATGAAGGTGACATGTGGCCTCCATCTGCTGACTCCTGACTGCCCCACTTAGTTCCAAGCTCAGGCGGGGAAACAGTGTCCTCCAACCCCAGCTCCCACTACCTTGCCCAACCCTCACTCCGAGGGACTCAAATTCCAAACATCCGTCACTCCTTGGACGAAAACACGAAAGCCCAGTGGTGAAATGCAAACCTGATTCCTGAGAGACTTCTCACCAAACCCGAAGTAAAACCTTAGCAAGTTTTGATTCCGGGTTTCCTGGCACAGCGGACATTTTGGGCCACACAGCTCTTTGTGCTGTGGGGGCTGCCTGGGGCCGCATACGATGTTTAGCAGCACCTCAGCCCTCTCCCTTCTACCGCTAGATCTTAGAAGCCCTGCCCCAGTGGGACAGCCGAAGTGTCCCAAGATATTACCAAATGTCCTGTGGGAGCAAGATCACCCCCACCCCCAACTGAGAGGCCCATCAACCTTTTAGCTCATGTGATCTAGTTCTTCAGCAATGGCCTCAAGGAAAGGCTGGTGGTCTGGGGAGACTTCTTGGAGGTGGAGGGCCGTCAGGCTTGAAGGATTGAACGAAGGGAAGGGG